GGGATACATTTTATAGGAATAATCTTAGTATATTCGATATGATCATAGTACATTTAGTATAAATACAGAATATTTGTATCATGTGCTTTTAGAATATATTTGATATATTCTGAAGATGAGCTTAAGAATATACAAGAAATGATATATCATCAAGATGTCATATGAATGTTCTTTAGTATATTAGGCAATAGTACGTATGACTACAGTACTTTCAGTACGAGTGTAAAATATTCGAATGATATCATGTGCTATTAGAGTACCGACACGCCGAAAAAACCATTCGAAAAATATACACTTGATATAGTGGGATCACTACCCATTACGAACGCCAGAAATAAATATATTTTAATTTTTCAAGATAATTTAACGAAATTTAGTAAAGCGATTCCAATAGAGAATCAAGAAGCAAACGGTGGCAAAAGTTTTTGTCACCAAAATAGTTGCCGAACACGGGATTCCTGAAAAGATTTTAACTGATCAAGGCATGAATTTCATGAGTAAAATATTTAAAAATACATGCAAGTTGTTGAAAATAGAAAAGATTCAAACAACAACCTATCATTCCGAAAGTAATGGAACATTAGAACGCTGACACAGAACTTTGACAGAATATCTTCGACCTTACATAAATGAGAAATAAACAAACTGGCTACCCGGGACGAATGGCTACCCTACGCAATGTTTGTGTATAATACAACGCATATAATGCCACACACGGCGACGGGATTCACACCATTCGAATTAATTTACAGGCACCGGACGGACCAAGACAGCATGCATGTCTAAAAGACATCTAAAAGACGTCTTATAAAAGACGTCTTGAGAAAGATGTCTTAAAGTCTAATGTCTTATACTTTTAAAAATGTTTTTAAGATGAACGTTTTTAAGAAGAACTATATCAGAAAGATGTCTTTCTGATGTTTTAATGACATCTTTTTTAAAATATATGTTCCATAACCTCAATATATTATCAATATAACCTCTAAAAGTTCTAAATGATAATTCCAAACATAGTTATTTACATTACCGACTGTGACATTTATCGAGAAGCTACATATTTGATTGAAATAAATGACATGATCAATTTCGATATAATGTAACCTATAAAAATATTGGCAGTCAGTTTATCTAGTACTCCAATATTTTATATTATTATAATATACAAGAACGCAATTAAGATGAAACTATTCGGAAACGTATTGACAAGAGGAAGAATACGATAAAAGACAGAAGCTGGAATTACATAATAAATCGATATGATTTAATATCTACACAATATTTCTAATGACAAAATTAATTTCTGATTATAATAGATAAATCAAAGTTGTGTAACTATTATATCAATGATGTACCAATTTATTAAGTAATTCCAAATTCTGTCTCGTATTCTAATAACAAAATTGATTTCTGATTACAATAGATAAATCAAAGTTGTGTAACTATTATATCAACGATGTACCAATTTATTAAGTAGTTCCAAATTCTGCATCGTATTCTTTCTCTTGTCAATACTTTTAATTAATTTTGAGTGGCATCCGTTTACCACGTTAATATTGATCACAGTCCCATTTGACCACGTTGCGATTGGCTACGTTGCAATTGACCACGTTGATATTGATCACGTTGCAATTGACTACCGTCCTGATTAACCATCGTCCCGTTTGGCCACAATCCCGTTTGACCACCGTCCCGATTGACCACCGTCTCAATTGATCACCGTTCCGATTGACCATCGTCCTGATTGACCACAATCCCGTTTGGCCACAATCCCGTTTGACCACCGTCCCGATTGATCACCATCCCGATTGACCACAGTTCCGATTGACCGTTTTGAAATTGATAATATTCAATGTACTGTTCTTATCACTGCGTTTAATAGCATTTTTTATTCGTATATATCGATAATTTCGGATGCTCGCATCTCGTCGACTCGCGTAAAGTCATATGGTAGTGTTCTCGGTTGACTTAATACCCGAGACACTACCGTGTCTCCTGATATTCTGAAGATGAGCTTAAGAATATAAGAGAAATGATATACCATGAGAAATGATATACCATAAAGATGTCATATGAATATTCTCTAGCATATTAGGCAATAATACGTATGACTACAGTACTTTCAGTACTGATGGTATATTAGATAATAGTACGTATGATCACTTTCAGTACGAGTGTAGAATACTCGAATGATATCATGTGCTATTAAGAATAGTATCTAATACTCAACCCTAATATGTATCATTTATATATCATTTATATAAAAGATTTGGAATCAAAAAAGTGGCGCCAAATTATAGTCCCATTACCTCGAAAGTTAAATGTACAATTGCTTTTAAAAAATGTAAATCAATCAATGATTCGTATCTTTGTATTTTCAATGAAGTCTTATTCTAAAATCCAAGTGATAATAGCTTTATTAAATTCTTTTTCAAAATTATGATATCATAAAATTGCGTTTAGCCTAATTTAATTTAAATGATATGTACCTAACACAAGTGGTAGTAACTTTCATTCTATCTCAATATATGTATAATATATATAATATTCTAGTATATCCTTCTGTAAAGAATGTTTAAATACATGTATATTTGAATCGAATGGAAAATTTAATCACAAAGAATTAAAAAGGTACTACAAAATGAAAAAAATTTAAATTCAAATAAAAAATTTTTATGTAATGATAATGAATGATATAATATATGAACTTTATTATATATTAACAAATGACTATGCTATTAAGTTTAATATATTAAGAATTAATATATATAAAGATAATGTAAAGAAATAAAAACTTAAGCGAACAAAAATAATTTTAAACTTAAGATACCATAACAATATAACATAAAGAATGAATAAAAAAGTGGATGTTTTTATATATGTAATTATATTATATGTAATTAAATAAAACGAATAAAAATTATTATTATTATTATTATCTGTACATAATGCAGAAAAACATTTGTAAGCAAATAAAAATAATTAAAGATACTTAAATTTAAGGTATTATAATGATAAAATATATAAAGAATGAATGAAAGAAATATATGTTTTTATATGTGTAATTAAAGAAAAACAATGAAAATTATTATTATTGTTATTATTATTTGTTATACATAAAGCAGAAAAACAATTTTGCCACGCAAGCGCTATATAAAAGCACAGACGATGTATACAGCGATGTTTTCAGATTATTTCTGAAAGATGCAATTTTGTAAAATAATTTTATTATATACAATTGAATAAAATTATCTTTAATTTTTAGAAAAAATTTAAATTACGTAAAAATAATAATGAAGGGGGAAGTTTAAAAAATATTAAATTTTTGAAAAATATAAACAGACAATTATAAATTACGTAAGAAATTATAAAAGTTTTGTCTAAAACATTTTTTTATATATCTCACCGTTTCATTGATAATTGATGGGAATCAAATATATATGTTAGCCTTTGAGAGGTTGTTTCACCCCTTAAAACTCGGATTGGATAGATATAAAAAATACCTGTCTCTTAGATTTTTGTGTTTAATAACATGTTTCAAGAAGAATCAAATCGGTTCCGGACAGTTGTGATAGGTCCCTTGTAAGTGACAATTTAGGGCGAAAGGCATACGGATAGCATGTTTCTCATACGGCAATGCGAAGCATGCACAACCGTTCGGCCACTGAGTCTCGAATGGTGGTGGGAGAATTCTCCGAAATCAGGCCGAAATGTGATGAATTCAATTAATTCCAAGCGCTGTTTTAGACAGTAGACCTCTCTTACAGCATATATAAAAGAATTCCAGCAGAGAAGTAGTACATTATCAGATTGCTTCTCACCCTAATGAAGTGAATTGCAATATTCATGAAACGTAGAAATTTAATAATGTATGATGACACGGATAATACACGTAAACATATTAACTTTTTATTTTAGGTATTTAGTCTTAAAATAAGAGTGGATTATAAATACTGGTTTAAGTCATGCACTGATTTATATATATTTATCAAAAAAATTCTTACAAAATATAAATGTGTGTGTGTGTGTGTGTGTGTGTGTGTGTGTGTGTGTGTGTGTGTGTGTGTGTGTGTGTGTGTACATAAAACTTTATTTATTTGTATTGTATATAAAAGATATTCTAAGAATTTTTTTATTTGTAGATTCTTCAATTATTGGTTCTAAGCATTCTAACTAAATATTTTGTTAAAATTGCCTCTTACTATAATTTGTAATAATGCGTTCGTGCTATTTTATTAGTTTCCGACATCTTAGTTCCATCATTAAGAATGCCTTCATATTAGGATCCTGCACCTTTCCAATGATAGCCTTTTGCAGATTTACATTAGATGACTCTATAACATTATTCAATTGTTCTGCATATTGAATCCATACGCAATTCGCACATCCTGACATGCAGCAATTAGTCGGCTCCGTCAAATCGTTTATTGAAATTTTTTTTTTATAATTAACTCGATCTTTGTCATCTTTTTGTATCGACAAATTCCGTCGATAACATAAACTTCTAGCAACAAATAGTCTCAATTGAAACGTGGAATTCATTTGTTTCAACTCTGGACAAGATGTAAAAGAGTTCTTTTTATAATAATTATATTAATAAGAAAAGAATGTGTACAATAAAAAATTAAGTCTAAAGCTTATAGAGACCGTAGTCCAGATAGCAAAACATGCCAAAAGCACAAATTGCAAAGTTATGCTACACGTTATGCCGGCAAAAATCGAACAGCAATCTAGCATGGGCTGCTATAACAGATACTGCCAGCAAAAATGCAGCACATATTGAGTAAGATCTGCATCATAATATGCTAAAATATTGTAAAAATTGAACAAAGCTTGTCATCATAAATTCAGAATTCAAGCATTTTGTGTTGCCACAATATTCAATAGAAAATACTATAAAATTTAACATAATATGCCGTCAAGACATATGTTGCAAAAATGTAGTAAAAAATCTGGTATATCTATTCTTTCACACTGTGTGTGACAGCAGAAATGCGGCAACACGATCTGTGACGTCAGATACTGGCAGCAGAAACGCAGCAGAAACGAATACAGTGCTATCACATCGTGACGGCAAAATTTCAGGTATAAATCCTAATAACACATGATATCATTCAAATATTCTACACTCGTACTGAAAGTACTGTGGTCATACATACTATTGCCTAATATACTAGAGAACATTCATATGACATTTTGATGGTATATCATTTCTCGTATATTCTTAAGCTCTTCAGAATATATCGAATATCTTAGCAGTACATGATGTCATATGAATATTCTGTATTTATATTGAATATACTGTGGTCATAAATATATTAAGATTATTCGTATAAAATGTATCCCAAGTAGCAAGATGACGTCATTATGACGATGATTTAAGGTCATTTTTTATTAGTATACTAAATGTAAAGATGTAAAATGAATGTAACATTTGTCACGAAATATTATCATAAATATATTGTCATTTAATCGTAATTTTTAAGTCATTTTTAATGAATAAATAATGAAATAACATTATTAATTACTATCTTTCTTAATTAACCATAATATATAAATAAGAAAAATATTTCCCATATTTAATACAATTATTGATCAATTCATAAACAAATAAACAAAATATATATTTAACAATTTATAAACAATTTTCATAATAAAAATGACTCTCATTAAACATAATATATTTCACATATATAGGATCTATATAATTAAATTATTTACAAGAATTACATATACAATCGAGATTTTAAAATTAAGACTATTTATATAATAATATAGTAACATTTATTAACCAGATCTATCATAGTTTTATGTCAAAATTCCGTGTTCACTTGTATCATCATTTCAATTGCAGATTTCATCCCATTATATAAATTAAGCAGCATCGAGCAGGATCCCAAGTAGGATGAGTGACTGTTTTAAAAACATGCAATGATACAAAATAAAAAATGTTTCATTACTTTCTCTTATTTTTTCCACTTATTTTCTGTAAGAAGTGTCACGTATATTATAGATTTTCACGATCTATATAGCTGTCTAGGATATGCATGCCCTACATAATATATTGTTTTTAAACCATTTTCATCCTATGACCATACTGCGAGATATTCTCCAGTACATACTAGGGATTAGGTTAGTGAGCGATAATAATGCTCTAAGTACATTCCACAGTATATCGCAGTACATATTTCGAATGTTTGGAGAATATCTCGAATATACTTATATTATTGCCCATGGAACGTTCTCAGAATAGACGAGTGTTATTAGGGAAGCACGATTTGCTTTATCAGTATGTTGGCAGAAACGCAGCAGAAATCGAGCACAGTATGCTGTCACGACGTGACGGCAAAATTGCGGCAGGTATACGGCACGATCAGCTAGACAAAAAAGAAAGAAAAATCAAACATAATATGCTGTCATGACGTGGCAGCAAAATTGTAACAGAAATTGAATAGGGCCTGCTGGCATAATCTACCAGCAAATCGACAATAAAAATCATACAAAACACGTACTCTACATTTGTCACTAGACACAATAATTAGAAAACTATCGCTAGATTGCGTCCGTTTCTCGCATGCAAAATTTATCAAACTTTCTATATAAGCGAAATCATAATCAAAATTTAAACATGCATTTATTATTCATATGTATATATTTTTATATATGCGCTTGATGCAAGACATAATTGTTCAACAAGATAATTAACAAAGTGTAATACCTAAGAAATAGTACATTATATAAAATGTACAATGTTTGATACATTGTTTGATACACTGTACATTATTTGATACGTTATATAAAAATCAAAAGAATCATAACTTATATTTTTAAAAAGTTTTTTATAACTCATTTGTGCTGTAAAAAATATGTTAATTTCATCATTAGTAAAATAATTATTAAAAATTATTAAATTATTAAAAATTATTCTTCTAAATTAAGAGATAGAAAAAATAATAGACATTATTTTTCAAAATTTTTTAGTTATAACAATGTCACAATTTAAATATTTACGAAACAGAATTTGTTTGATTTTTGTTAATTTGCCAACAAGTTATGTTAGCAGGTCTTATTCGATTTCTGCTGCATTTTTGCCGTCATATCGTGACGGCATACTGTGCTCAATTTCTGCTGTGTTTCTGCCGACACAGCTGATAAAGCAGATCACGTCATATATCTGTCGCAATTTTACCGTCACGTCGTGATGGCCTATTATGCTTGATTTCTGCTATGTTTTTGCTGCCAGTATCTGATATGGCAAACTTTGATACGATATCTGTTACATATCTGCTGCCACAATGAGATAGCAAGCAATGCTCGACTTTTATTTTTGTCATTATTCTATGATGAGAAGATGTGTCGCAAAAAATTAAGTTTAATTGGAAGCAACTTGAAATCTGCTGCGAAGTCATGATAGGATCTGCTGGCACAGTGCTGGCATACTGCTGGCAATTTGGGAATCTGTTAACTTATACCGTAACCGTTAAAAATTAACCAATCACAATCGAATTATAGAAGACTAATGACGATGATATCGACTATGATTGATCAATTTTTTATGATTCCCGCATAAGTTAACAGATTATGGCCTCCATAAATCAACCTTAATTCTGTCATTATTGTATAAATTACGTTTAAGATTAAAAAAATTTTATCTAACCTCGTATTGAAATAGTAAAGTGATGTCTAGCTACATTCAAAAAACACATCGGTTACAACGAATACAACGATTGCACAATGGTTGAGTAATCCATCAATGTGTTTAATCTAAATTTAGGAATCTACAGTAAAAATGATAATCACTGACAGCTCACTGATCGTTCGTTCTGTTTTACGCAATCAATGATTACGCAATTAATAAGCGTTTCCTGATGAGTAGAACATCTATTTTAGCAGAGAGAAAACCTGAGAGCAGCCATCTCGGTCTTTTTCGTGGAACCGTCGAAACTCTCCGTACACTAGCGCCTCGAATTCCATTTTGCTTATCGAAAGTAAGTAGCGAATTCCTGACACTGCCGATAGAATCTCATTCTGGTCTGTGTCCGTGATGGTTTCACAATTCGTGCTACTTCCACAATTCGAAAAGAGCAAGAATATATTTATATAATTACATATTTATTTTGCGCAATTTTCTCGTTGTAAAATATTGATAAACATTAACATTAGTATATATATTATACATATTTATCAATATTTGTATACATATTTATCAATATTTTCATATTTATATATATACATACACATTTATTATAGCGTATTTATGAAAAAGAGATCTTCTTTAATAAAAGTAATGATATTGGAATAAAACTGTTATGTTTATGTTTATTTTGAATAATATTCTAGGAATCCTAATATTGTATCGTTTGATGAAAAAATAATGAAGAAAAAATGAATTTTATTATATATGAAAAAAATAAAGATAATGTACTAATCATTAAGATAAAGATAATGTACGATTAGTACATTATCATTTAGTATTTTTTTATTTTTATAAAATCCCTCATAATTAGATTTTTTGCATATAATTATTTACATATAGTTGGATTTGCATATAATTGCATTATTATTACACAATATTATTATTACATTTATTTAGTGCTATATATAAATTTTTTATGAATGATTATTTCTTTTTTATTTATTATTATATTAAAATAAAAACATTAATATAGAAAACATAAAAAATTGTGGAAATATTACTTTTAGCTTCTTGCACATTTTCGTATCATTTCCATCCAATCGTACAACTGTACTGTGGACAGCATTTCTGGAATGTACAATGAGTATTCTTACCAAAGGAAAATTTTGTACTAAAACCATACGACATTGGTATTATTCGGGAGTTTGTACTGAAGATGACTCAAATGTAAGCCGAAGCATCTATTTTATGTAACATTACATCATTAATTAAATCTCTCGCAACAAAACCTGCGCTTGACTCTCAATTCGCCACGTCTTTCCAATTTTTGATTGTTTCATTCAGAAAGTCCTTTAGTTTTTACCATCTGTTAATAATTGTCTATTCTTTTAAATTTTAAATACAAATTTAATTCCCTTATTTGTTAAAACTATATACATTTTTATGATAAAAATCTATATATCATATATAAAGTTAACAGTTAAAAATCATTTGTGTTTCGATTATTTGTTTATAATGCGCAAATAGAAAGAAACGAATAGAAAGAAGTAACGAATAAATGAGACAAAAAATAATTGTGTTTTGTAAAAAAATATAGATGAGTGAAATACCTTTTGATTGCTTTTTTTTCACAGAGATTATGCAAGATGAAGAGAAGTAAACAGATATTAATTTGTGTTTACATATGCAATGTATGCGTGCATGTAATGTAAATATAAAAGATGATTTGGAAGGAAACCGCAATATTTGGAGAATATGTGCAGAATAGGACAAAAAGTTCTATAAATATAGGTCCGATTCTCAATCTTTATGGAAATAATAGATGTTAAAAATTAATAAAATAGAACATTTTTAGAAACTTACTAAATGTAATGCATAGTAATGAAAAAATTGTTTATTTGCTAATGATATAGACCGATAGTCAGTTTTTTAATTTTAAAATCATTTTAAGTAATGTCTTAAGACGCTAATACGATTCTGTGATAAGTTTATAAGATTTTAAGTATGAATTTCAAACAATCTTGAATACAAAATGAATTTCAAACAATCTTGAATACAAAAATCGATTATATAATCAATAAAATAAATACCAATATAATATCAGTAGTTAAGAGAAAACATTTTAATTTGTAAAATTTTTCAAAATATCGCTGACGATGTTGACACATTTGTCAACTTGTGTGTGGATCGCACATATGTACAGCTTGTTGGAATGCATTCTCTAATAGCACTCGTTTATTCTGAGAATGTTCCATGGGATATCACACAAGTATATTTGAGATATGTTCCGAACATTCGAAATACGTATTATGATACTGTGGAATATACTTAGAATGTTACTACCGCTAATGCTACTAACCTAATCCGTAGTATGTACTGAAGAATATTCCGCAGTATGGCCATAGGATAAAAATGATTTAAAAATAGTATATCATGTAGAGCATGCATAAGGGTAACCCAAACAGCTCTATAGATCGATCTCGACAGCTTCTGAAAATCTACAATATACGTGACACCTCTTACGGAAAATAAGTGAACAAAATAAAAAAAATAAGAGAAAGTGATGATTTTTTTATCATTGCAAATATGAGAAAAAGTGATGAAACATCTTTTATTTTGTATCACCGCATGTTTCTAAAAGTCACCCATCCTACTTGGGATCCTGCTCGATGCCGCTTAACTTCTATAATGGGATGAAACTTGCAACTGAAATAAAAATATAAGTGAATATGAAATTTTGACATAAAATATAATAGATTCGGTTAACGAATGTTATTATATTGTCATATAAGTAGTTTTAATTTAAAAATCTCGATTGCATATATAATTCTTGTAGATAATTAAATTACATATATGTACATAGAGCCGTGAACCTATATTATGTTTAATGAGAATCATTTTTATATGAAAATTGTTTATAAATTGTTATAAATTG